ACATCTGTTTCCTATCTTTATGTCATGATTTTGCCCTGCATTCTGTTGACGAGACAACAACATATACTTAGTTTTCACGGTATTTACTTCTAGACCAATCTCCTGCGGTGTACAATGCGGTGTCTGGCAGTATTAAGAAGCCGGACCGTGATTAGCATTTGCATCTGTACGATGGATCAGTGAGAAGCCAATGTTTCACGACACTTATAGTTTTCAGGCTGCAGTCCATTTCCGTGACGCAACGACTGGTGACGCAACTTTGCGGAAATCCCATCACTCTGTAGTCGTCTTTGTTCTCTACGAAAGTTTGCCACATTTGTGCTGCAAGAACAGGCTGCCGGCTAATGCCTCAAGACCGACGCACACTACATCGAACGAAACGAATATAATCGAATGGAAAACCTCCCCCGAAATTGACGGTTCGTGACTATTACAGGCACGAAATCTTCCGAAAGAAATCGAACAAGAGAAGGTTCCAAATGGTTCGATTTTATTATAGTTTAGTTATACTCTATTCTGATATACTGCAGTAATAGAGACAAAAGAGCCCACGGCGTTTTTTTTTGGATCGCCGTCAACATTTTCTAGAAGAGTACTCTTTTTTTTCCGCTCCCAAATTCGTGGCTGTCAACGTTCGTATCAAAATGTTCAGGCTTTCGGCTCATATCTGAAGACGAGAGCTTGTCTAATTTGCGTACCACTGATGAATCCACTGCCTTAACCTGCTTTACCACACGCACACTAGTAATACTCATCTTTGGAATGGACCTCCCCTCACCGCCACTCACAGCATAGCTACGAGGCTGTTGCCGCTCCCGGTGTTTACCAAAATATTTCACAAAACATAAGTGACTATCGTGAAATACTGGATCTATTTTTCTGGACACAAAGAATAGTGAGCACTACTCAGACCCAGGTAACACCAGTGCGCGAACTGGTCTACATAGCCGTTGTCGTGGTATGCCGCTCCAATTTCTTTCTCTGACGTTTTAGTTTCATGACAGCCGTGTAGGCCTACGTTGCATATGCTAAGGCCCGTATTAAATCAAAATATGTTGAATTATATTCTACAAATAAATAATACTGATAAATGTTTAATTACTTATTCCGAATATAAGTTCCTACAAAACTAACATAATATTGTCATGTATTCTGGGTTAACGTGACTAATAATAATGGGTTCTGGATTAGATGAATAGATTTACTGGATACTCACAAGTCGTAACTACAATTAATTATAACACTCTAAGGATTACTGTAATTATAGTACACAAAATAACGTCTTCAGTATCTGCTTGCTAATCGTTGCTTGGTAACGAATCTTGTCTGGTTAACACTTCACAGCTGAATCCTCAAGTATTGAACTACCTTCTGAAGTCTCTTACGAATGAATCTCTAACTGAATTGAATCAAAGTCAAAGTCACATTGCAACTAACGGTCAGTTAGCCAGTAGTTAGTTAGTTATTTAGAGAGGGTGGGTTTCCCCATGCACCACGACCAGTTTGATCTATTGTGCTTCCCTCTATGATATTCTACCAGTCTCTTTACCCTACCGATAAATGGTGCGTACCATCAGTCCCGCCGAGCAAGCGAGTTCGGCCACTTGCTTAGCGGTGTGTATAATGTTTCCCCCATCTATCAGAGGCCTTAGAGGCTATTGTTGGGCAGGAAACGTCCTGGAATTTGGCTCAGTGATCCCCTTTGGGGATATGAGGTTCTTTTACGTGCCGTAAAGTTACGACACGGGACACACAGCTTAAAGTCCCTCCCGGAGGACTTGTTCCCTGAATTTTTCCGCCCTTAAAAATTCGACGACNGTATTTGAACCCGCGTACCACGAGTCATGAGGTGGGAACGTTACCTCTAGACTACGGAGGCCGCTTTGTCAGTTAGTCAGTAAGTAAGTCTCGGTTTCGAGCCCCCTCCAGAGGTTCATGACCAGATATTTATTACGTTTGACAGTTACGGTCTTGTTTTTCTGGGGCGCCCTCTCTGACGAGAGGACGGGTCTGTCTTTTATATATGCTGCTGGTCCTTGCTAGCGCAGTCTTCCTCGGGTCCGAGTTCCTTGGGACTCGCGACCATATTTTACTGTCTCAGATTTGAGACTTCCCTTTTCGTCGATTCCAACAATTCGCAGGGTCACTGTGTAGGTAACTGAATTGAATGCACGAATGAACTCCCTTTTATAACTGCCAGAGAACCGAAGAGAGATCACCAACTCCAAGAGTTCCATTACTGTTCCTCGCGAATGCTTAATCTCGGTAACCGTGGGCTAATTCCGAAGCAACGGTTTGGTTTCTAGGTGTTTACAACTTTCAGTTTTCGTATCCATGGAAACCGTGTTCCGTAAACAGTTGGTTTCCGAGAATCAATCTCTCCGTGGCAACGTATATGCTAATTCATTTCCTCTTCTTGAGGATAATACTAATTTTGTTTAATGCCATCTAATTTCCACATGTCAAGGACGACTGCGCTCTTGTCACTAGTTCTATATCATTATCTTTGCCCTCGCTATAAGTCACGTGGTCACCATCGGCACCAACTCCAACGCCATGTCGGTTTAGGCATCAGCATTGTTGCTAACCTTAATATGGACGTGGTTATTCCCTTCTATTCTGAAATGTATTTGACAAACCAATTATTGATTCCGAAATGTCTGCGTCAGTAAAGGCGTTTCTGTCCTGACGTTGCATTCCTTCAGTTCCTTCTGCGTCCGTGCGATTGCATGAATCAGTTCATCTTCATGTGCTGCTTTACACTGAGTTGACATAGGCTTTGGTAAGAATTAAATAAATTTACTTTAGATTAAAATGTTAGACTGAGATAGATTAGTTAAGGTTAGGTTAGAATGTTAAACTGTCCATTCGGGCTATGTGCGGTTAAGGTACACGAGATTAGTGCGACATATCTTTAAAATAATTTGATTTTTTTTTGTTTCTACATGCCGTACACGCATGAGCTCCTACCGTTACGTTGTCATAATTGTCCTCACAGTATATCACATGGTCATTATCGGAACCAACTTCGATCCCGGCGTCTGTTTAGTCGTCGGCATCGATTTTCACTTACGTGTATTCGGCAGAGGAATTCACAATTCAGAACCGCCTGCCTTGGCAAAGCCGGAGTTGGCCTGTCTTTCTATTCCTTCGATATATCCTTCAAATGCCCTTCTGCCTGAATTATGGAACGTATTTCGACCCTGGTGCAATGCAACACTATAATTATTGCGGTTTCTGCATGACGTTGATCTTATTAGAAATTTACTTTAAGTAAGATTATTGTACAACTCTTCATTTATATAGCATGACTATTATAAATTTAAATAATAATCGTTCTTTTATTTTATTAGCTTAAATGTGTGTTTATGCTAACGTTGGCCAAGCTTTCTACAAGTAACTTACTTGTTTGGATATGTAGTATTGCAGGACTCTGCGTGGTGCAGCTCCCATTTCATAATCCCTCGACCTCCATGTTGGTGCTATTCATGATTGGAAATGAAAAGTTTAAAAGTGTTGTGGCTTAGTGGTTTTATGTTCATGACATCGTTAATGAAAAGGGGGGGGGGGCAGACACGCGGATATCTCCGTCGTCTGTATTCCGCAAGCGAACTATACCGACCGAGCGACCGCCGCTTGTCGGCGAAGTTAGTGCCAACTTTTGCGGATAGAGAGTGTCACGTGGTCAGCGCAACGGATCCCCACGGCCGTTAATCTCGTTTTTCTAGACCGGGGCTGCTATTTCATTGAAATAGCTCCTCAGTTATCCTCACAAGGCTGAATGGACCCCGTTCCAGACCCACTACTTCTCAGAAAACCTGGTAGCGCCGGGAATCGAACCCGGGACCTCTGGATCTGTAGGCAGGAACTCGGAAATGATCCATTAAATCTGGTTTTGCTTGTTTCTTTCTCTCTCTCACTTCCTTTTGTTATTTCTTTCCTTCTTCACTTCCTTTATTCAAGCTAAAACAAGTTGATTAGTCTGTTTTCAGAAACTGTAGATGTCAATGGAAACACAGTGTTAACAGACGCGTAATCATCTTCTTGCTTGAGCACCGTAATGTGCTGTGGCTCACTTTGGACACACTTTTCCTTGGTGGGTGACAGAACAGGTCACACATTGCTACGCCTACTGTTCTTGACAATAGGAACATTGCATGAGCAATGTTCATGTGATGTTTTAGTGCAATTATTTTTGTAGATACGCACTGTATGTAGCCCTTCATGGTATTTAAGAACCTTGAAGTGTCTCGCCTAATAGCTGACTAATACGTCCTTACCACCAAGGTTAGTACCAAGATGAGATTCGAAAGAAAAATAACGTTCATTTACGTTCCATCAGTAGCAGCACCATGACACTTGATTCTGATACAGTCAAACTTGCTTGCAACAGAATCTCAAAGAACCTGAGTTCTTTAACGTTTAAATAGGTTTCTGTTTGACACAGACACTTAGGTCTACTTACAGATAAGAATATTATCACAAACGTTAAGCATTTATGATTCAAATTATGGGTCAGAAATTCATGCTACATATGTGCAATGCACTGTAGTGTACAACGAATGTTTCAGTTTTGTTTATCTAATTTCCTTTTTTCTTCCTCCCCTTTTTCTTTCAATTACGCTGTTATCTTTGTTTATTTCTTTCGTTCGTTCTTTCTTTCTTACTACAAAACAAATTGATACATGACACAAAACGTAGGTCTTAATCAGCTGTACACTTGTTTCTGTATATGTATTTCAGTATGATTAACATTTAATGAAATATGACAGAAACTGTTTTATGACCATGCAGTGTAATAAGGCGTACATGTAATGTGATTATCTTTGCAATAATATATTTTGTATTTGCAGCAAATTAACGTCAAGGCCTTGAGTTATACAAAAGAATAACGCTTATGGATTACTTCTGCTCTGTATATGACGTTTGGCGAGGGCACCACCTGCTTGTTCCGAATGCTTCAGTGTTCATGAAGTTGTATAGTGACCTTCTTCCTGCAGATCGACAATATCAGGGCATGCCTCGCTTGCCTGGGAGAGCTGGGGGTGAGTGTGGATGGAGTCCAACCTGAAGATGTACGTCACGGGAACCTGAAGGCAATTCTCGGTCTGTTCTTCTCTCTGTCGCGGCATAAGCAGCACCAGAAGCATCTCATAAAACAGTCTGAAGCTATGCCGAGGTATGATCATACAGCCTGATCAACTGGGCACATGAGAGCCGTGTAACTTTTTTGTTGGCATGGTAACATGAAAGTTCGACGATATGGTCTGTTGTATATATACTCCATCTACTTGGGGAAAGGCCGTGCCATAGCTCGGGCTGTTAGTTGCGGCTTCCCAGGTCAGGTCATGTGGGATTTATATGAACAAAGTGGCACTGGGACAGGTTTTCTCTGACTATTTCGGTTTCCCCTGCCAAAATATCATTCTACCGCCTATTTCACATACATCACTATCATCCGGGGCTGGTACAGTTGCTCAAACTGTAAGCGACGTGCTAAGTGGACTCAGTCTCACTCCATCCCAATAAACTAAAAAAAAAAACTACGTATAATTTTTCTTCGATAAGGTTACCTACACCAGGGTCCAGGGAAACCAGGTGGGACTGCAATTAAACGAGACACATCAGCTGTTGGTCTACGCCGATGATATGAATCTAAGGATGAGGTGGGCAGGTCATGTAACACGAATGGGGGAGACGAGGAATACGTATAGGATATTGGTGGGAAATCCAGAAGGAAAGAGACCACATGAAAGAGCAAGGCGTAGGTGGGTGGCCAGTATTAGAATGGATCTTAGAGAGAGAGGATGGGATGGTATGAATTGGATAGATCTGGCTCAGGATATGGACCAGTGGAGTGCTCTTGTGAACACGGTGATGAACCTTCGGGTTCCATAAAATGCTGGGACATTCTTGAGTAGCTGCAGAATTGCCGGGTCCTCCAGAAGGGTTCAGCTCCATGAGTAAGTAAGTAAGGTTGCCTACACACAAGGCAGAATGTACCCTGGTTCGTAGAGTAGGTGGGCTTTGTAGGCCTACATGGAGAATCTCTTTCCTATACAGATGGTTCTGAACCGTCTCTGATTTGCGGACGAGCATAGCTGGAATTCACGCCATTTACATGGGCTGTTACTCCTTCTGTAATTTCACAACACAAATAACAGTCTAAACTCAGTTATTTACAGTAAGAAATAAACTCGCTTGTTTAGTGTTGGAATCAAAGATACCTTATAATCACTAGCGATAATAATCGCAATTATAAATTATCCACGGGGTTATATGAAATAATTTAATCTGTCATATTCCAAGGTCTAGGATTTGTAAGACATCTCTTCCTCGTCAGTTCTGAGGGATATAGCGACCTACGTTAAATTTCACGTTGACTTCCTCACACTCAAGCAGCAAAGTGGATGGAAGGAGGAAGCACCGTGTTAAACCAGATCAGTATGTAGTCGCTTCGTTAAAATAAAAATGAGGTTACTATATCATCGGCGATTTTCAGTCCAGCATGAAACCCCCAAAATCTGTTGGGAAACACTGTACCAGTGCAGCATTTGTTCTGTGTGGCGTTCATAGCAAACATTTTCATAACTCTGTTCTGTATGTTCGTTGGAATTTGATGAGTTCAAGAAAATGACAGTAAGACCGAGGAATATCTTTCTGTTCCAGGATTCCTTCAGCGATCAGTAAGCACGGCAGCAATGCGACGAGCATTCCGTTGCCTGCGGGCTCCCGTTTGTCTGGAATCGAAGATGGCCGGCAGTCAACTATTCCTCCGGGAAGCGCCTATCACCAGCCTCAAGGTACGAATGCTGTTAACTAGAAATAGCTAAGAGAAACGCGAATGGCGCAGCAAAATACGTCCACTGCCGCGGTCCATAGACGACGGCTTGGAGGGATTCGGATTTGATACAGTAAAGCAGGACGCCGGTTAGGATTCAGGGTATGTCGATACAGTTTAAGGAAGTTTTTCCTTCACTGCCGATTCACTACACGAACGTATTCGCACTTGATTAAAGCACTGTTATTGCTTACTGGACGGGTTGGATAGATAGGATTCTGCAGGTGTGATTAATTAGGCCTATGGTGTCTAATTATCGGCTTATCCATCTGTGTATATAACAGAACGTTCTGGGAAGAACTAATTGCATACTTTCCTTTGATACGTCACGGATCGCATTGAAAACGACGCCACCAATAATTCCTCTTTCCCGCGAGATCGCCTTAACGAGTTGTTACCTAGCAACGATGGGAGGTTCAGACACACAGACTGTTGTCCTTCGATAAGATATGGACCGCATAGAAAATTACTGCTCCAACAATTCTTCTATTGTTGCATGTATTCATTGTCTAGGGAACATGTTTACCGAACCGTTGCTTAGCACCGAAAGGAGGGATACACCAACAGACACACAGACTGATGGGAGGGAGTTATGAAGTACGCAGTTGAGATGGGCTCAGGTGCAATGATATAATACCAAGTTTCATAACGATTGGTTCAAACATTTAAAAGCTATTGGGGGGGGGATACAAGACACACAGACATGATGGAGATCGCATAAGCGTCCTTTAGGAAAGTAAGCTAAAAAGGTTGTGTAAGAGTGAGTGAAAGCTCTGAAATTAGACAGTTTCTGGTTACAATAGCAACGAACTGTAGAGCGTTAGCATGAGCAGAGCAGTAATTTACAGCTGACCTTCGCCAGCACAGTCATTCTTGGTTTCGGGCCCCGTCCGGACCCATGGCCATATTTTTCTTCGCTCCAAGGCCACCTATGTGGTTTGAAGTGGAATACGAGTAGGTGGTGTTGGTCTTTCTGCTTACGCACCACGCGTTCAGCCGCACTCACACTGTTGTCGTCGGACTCCGGACCGCAGTGTAAGCATGTCTTAATGAACGTAAGTTATATAGTTACTATAGGATTCTGACGATGGTGTATAACACACTGATATGTTGGGATTTTGGACTTTATCCATCGTCCTGGTTTTTAAGATAACAAATAAAAACACGACGTTTCGGAAACTGGATCTGTTTCCGTCCTCAGGTGAAGGAAAACACCTATTCAGTTGGGTCCCTTAGAATCACTCACTGGGTCCAGTGATTGAGGCTAGCTCTTTCTAAGGGACCCAACTGAATAGGTGTTTTCCTTCACCTGAGGACGGAAACAGATCCAGTTTCCGAAACGTCGTGTTTTTATTTGTTATCTTAAAAACCAGGACGATGGACAAAGTCCAAAATCCCAACATATCAGTAAGTTATATAGTAAGTCACGAACGAACAAGTAGTCTTTCGTTTCAGTGTGTCGTGTGTATGCTGTGAATATTGATACTTTTTTAAAATAACTATGTGGGGGCAAGCGGTAGCGTAGTTGGTTGAGGCACTATGCTACAAGCTGGAAGGTCGCGGGTTCAAGTCCCGATGAGGTCATTGGATTTTTTTAAATTGACCTAATCCTTCCAGCCGTACTATGGCCCCGGGGTCGACTCAACCTCTAACAGAAATGAGTACCAGGAATATTCTTGGGAGTAAACGGTGGCCGGCGCGTACGGCTGACAACCTTGCCGCCATCTATGGATCGATTGTCTGGAAAATGTTGGAACCTCAACATCTCACAACCCTATGGGCCTCCACGGCCTGTTACAGGTATAGCTTTACTTTTTTATGGGGTATGTGCGATGTAGTAAACATTTAACATGGAATATGACTTAGTTTACGAGGACAAGGTTTCTTTCCTTTCCAAAATAAGCACGTAGAAGCTGTCCATGTAGATTAGTTCATAAAACCATATCGAGAGCTCTTACCCGAAACCAGTATCATAGCGCAACCGAAGCGGTCATTTCATAGGTCCGTGTAGGTGGAGTATCTGCACCGCTGTTTGAATTCACGTGACCAAGAATGACAGAAGATATATCTGAGTAAATGTTATCAGTAACAGAATACAAGTAATACGATGTTTGTATTGTGTGTGCGTGTGTACCTGGCGCCATTAGTCACGTTGATAGCAGACCCTACAAGTAAACAAACAGGAATACGAGCATGTTAGATATGACTTGAAACTCCACTGGGAAATGCATTTTCGCAAGGTCTGTATAGAATGGAGTCTGCACTTATTTTAATTTGTCCGCCAAAGCTGTTAATGAACTTTTTCACTGGCATATGGTTTACATCATTATCACATATATTCATGTGATTGTTTAGAAGAGATAAACGGTGCCTCCATAATACACTATGCAGTTATGCCAATATAATTCTGTTTCTTCTCATAAGAACAGATCTGTCTCCTCATTTGTTAAGGTTAGGAGAATTATGTTTCAAATCGTAATTGTACTCGTATGTTAGCTGTTTATACTGTAGTGGTGTTGCCTGCAGTATCGCGCCACACATTGCATCGCCAAGACCCAGTGGTCTTTTCTCATCGTTGGATAAATCGTAGCATCATTAGCCAACTTTCTTTATTCTGAAATAATGACACTGGGCTTATGCGATCTCCGTGCTGTCTGTGTGTTTGTATATCCCCGCCTATCAACTGCTGAATGCCTTAATCAATCTTTATAAAACTTGGTATGTATATCATGGCAACTAAGCCCATCTCAACGGCTTACTTCATAAATCCCTCCCATCAGTCTGTGTCGTTATGTGCACCACTGTCATTGCTAGGCTACGGTTCGGTAAATGTCCCCCCTATCTTTTCTAGGCAACTGCTCGGTAAAAGACGTTACCGCTGCAACGAATACACACACAATAGAAAAATTGTTGTACGCGTGTTTTTCTATGCCGTCCGTATAGTACTGAGTACGTATAGTATTAAGGAAAGTAGATAATTAGTTCTTCCCCAAAACTTCTTGTTTTGATATTTAAAATTAAGTGAATCTTGTCAGCTGGGTGGGAAGGTTATGTATGAGCTGAGTGAATATTAGCTGACATCAGAGAGCAGATTTTCGAGGGCAGTCACGCCATCCTTGTGTTGAGTGTTGGAGGGAAATTGCGGATAATTTTCCTGTTTGTGGGAGATTGTGGGTGGAGTGCAGGCGGCCGTCACTGATGATGATGATGCTCTGTGGTCTGCATCACTGACGTCGAATTTGACAAAGGAATCACATAACACGCTCAGGTTTTTGATTTCGCGTATCAAGTAGCGGTGTGTATTCTTCCGTAGACAGGAGGGGAATGTGAAGCTGGGAAAGTTCCTAGTACCACCGTCCGGACCGGTCCGGACAGTCGTCGCTCGGGATTAACGTGGCCAGATCGTCTGTCATGGTAGGCCGATGCATATTACGCAACAACATCCTGTATACAACATGCGTTCCGGTCCGGCCCGTAATAAAAATGCGAAACTCATTGTATATGTATCAACTTTATGGTAAAAGGTAAAAAAAAAAATAAATAAATAAACTGTCCTTGTAACAGGCCGTGAAGGCCCATAGGGTTGTGAAACGTCGAGGCTCCCACATTATCTAGACCAAGCATGTCAAACTCAACTTGTACAGAGGGTCACCTCAGCCCTATAAATACGTAATAGCCCAGGGCCGCACTTCAAAATAGAAATATACATTAGATTTTGATACAAGGAAATTTAATTCTATTTATTATTTAGGAATAATTTAAATATAATTACCTATAGTCACATATCTTACAGTTTTAAAAAGCAAGAGAATGCCATTTTTGACAAGTATCAAACAGCTTTTCAATATGTAAAAAGAGAGATTAAACAAGAAATTATGTTAGAAATAGCAAAACATTGAATTTCCTGCAGCCTGCTAATTTATGTCTGCTTGAGACTTTCTGTCTTCTGGTCTGTTGGAAAACTGTCTTTACAAAAAATATTTCTACCAAAATTTTAATATTGATTTTAATATCAATTAGCTCTAAACGTTGAGGGGCCGCACTTTGTGGCTATGGGGGCCGCATGTTTGACACGGCTGATCTAGACAATCGGCTCACAGATGGCAGTAAGGTTGTCAGCCTTACGCACCCGCCTCCATTTACTCCCCATGAAGATTCCGGGTACTCATTTCTGTTAGAGACGACCCCAGGGCCATAGTGTGCCTGGAAGGATGAGTTCAATTGAAAGAAATCCGCTCCATTGCGACTCAAACACGCGACCTTCGGCTTGTAGCATAGTGCCTCAACCAACTACTCTACCGCGTGCCCCTGTCAACTTTATGTCGTGCAGATATATCTTCGGTCCAGTGAGTCTGCAGTTCACAATATTTTCTTGTAAAGGAATGGTAAAATAGCAATGGATTTTCCCATGACCGGTAACCTGTCTCAGAGTACAGTTACTGATCTACAGATGTAATTAATCGTTACACACGGGAATTAATGCCTTTCTGTGACACTAAAATAGAACTGTCGAATATTATCAGTTAAAAATTATGTGCAAAGCCATATGAAACTATTTTAGTTGCCAAAAATTTCCTACTAGAGAAAAAATAAAGGAAATTAACTTAGGTATAGTCATTTCGACTGTGCAGAAAATGCAATTAAGTCCTAATGTTCTGCACAAACTCTTTACTTGCTAAAAGGGAACAATATAAAGAGAAAAGGACTTAGTCGCTACTTGTAAAATAATATTTCTATGGTATTAATATGTAACAACGCTGACAGGGATTTGAGTACCAGCATACATCGAGTAGGCCGGTCACGGTAGCCGAGCGGTCTAAGGCATGTACTGTCTTCTCTCGCTTGGAAACCGGGATCGTGGGTTCGAATCGCACTCAGGGCATGGATGTTTAGTTTGTGTGTGTGCGTTTTTCTGTGTTTGTGTACAGGTAGAGGCCTTGCGACGAGCTGATCACCCGCCCAAGGAGTTCTACCGATTGTGTAAGATCTAGAAAACCCGAAGTGAACGGAGAAATTCATGGAGGTAGGCCTAGGCCCACTGGGGCTGTAGTGCCAAGGGGAAAAAAATACATCGAGTAGTGTAGGGTAGCTGTCCGCAAGCCACCCGCTGAATAAAACTGGGGCTTCGTTGCATAATTTGTCAATGAAATCATCATTTTAAACTCAATAGCATATCCATGGTTCTCGTGGAATGGGAGTAGGCCTTAAATTCCTATATCTGTGATACGCTATATACACTTACGGTATGAGATATTGTTAGCTAAATCATTTACTTTTGGAACACAACCCGCACACAGTTGTCGTAAATGACGTTAATAGTTTTTAGGACAGTTTTCATGAGTAAAAGAACAGCCTTATATGCTGACGATTGATGACAGTAAGTAATAAATCATCGGAGCTAGGTTGTGGAACTTTGTATGTGGATAGGTTAGAAACGTAGCTGCACAGTCTGTAAGTACATGAAATGTATTTTTTTTGTAGAGGACGATTTTTAATTTACCTTTATGCTTTTCAAAATGTATTTTTGAAAATAAAGGCTGCCCACACAAATGGAAAGAGTAGGACATAAAGAAGAACACTCAGCATTACAATCTTCTGGGTTGTGAAGCCGTGTAGTTTGGTAGAGACCTGCTAACTCCAGAAAGCAGTGACTGCGCCATAGCTCAAGCGGTTAATCGCTGGCTTCCCATCGCCGGGGCCTGGGTTCGATCCCGGGTCTGGTCAAGTGGGATTTATGGTGGACAAAGTGGCACTGGGGCAGGTTTTCTCCGAGTACTTCGGTTTCCCCTGGCAATCTTTATTCCACCAATTGCACCACAATCACCCTCAACTATCATCAGGGGCTGGTACAATAGGCCTGAAGTGGCCGTAGTACAAGGGACTTAGTCCCACCCAAATAGCAATAAAGAAAAACTCCAGAAAGCAACAAGCTCGAAGCGAGCATCAAGCTAAGCTTGATCGTCGGTCATGAAGATGGAGGCAGTACATTTCTCTGATACGTGAGTGAACCTCTGAACTACACGGCGTCACATCCCAGAAGATTGTACTCTTCATAGTCACCGGTGCAAGAACCTCAGACTCAACGTGGATGCAGAAGGTTTTCATATTGTAGATACAAATTTCAACGTGTAAACTGGTTCTGATTGGAGAGGCATATATTCCTATTGGTCAGGCTGAACTCAGCCCAAGCTGTGGAGACCAAATAGAAGGGCGTGGTAGTCACGGATTATAAACGTTATACGAGTATTTTAGTGGGGTTAAAGTTTGCATCTCTCTTACACTGTAAACTTCCATGTGCCGGATCAAATATGAAGACCCAAACCGTAAGGACCGGAGATGTGATGATGTGCTGCCTGGTTAGGGCTATCGCACACCTCGGACACCGGTGATAGATGAATATAAAGCAATGGTGGAGTGATGATTATCAGGGAAAATCCGAAGAAGCTCGGAGAAAACATTTCTCCAGTGCCACTGCGAATCTCACATGAAGTCACCCCGGATTTAAAAAAACAGAGGCTCAGGAGTGAAAAGTCAGTGTCTGACTGCTGGAGTCATACCACTGTCATTTTAATGAGATACGCAGATTATTATTATTATTATTATTATTATTATTATTATTATTATTCATTAATTATAAATTTAATTTTTCATAGAATTATCGTTAATTTATTGTTATTATATAAAATGCCTTATTTTGTTTGTTAGTTTTTTGAGCCCTTCTACGTACTCGTGCTAACTTTATAATTGGCCTCTGAGCTGTAAGTTTGCACGTAAATAAACATGAATTGAATTGAATTATTATTATTTCTAAATATATATACTTCACATTTTTCAGTTCTCAATAACAACTTAGATTTGTTTTAATTAAATTATTATTATTATTATTATTATTCCTACTACTTTGTTTGTTTGCTTGCTGCTTGGCATTAGTGTGTTTTTCCTCCAGTGCTTACCTTTAATTAGTCTTTGATTTTATGTTGTGTTTGTCCATAATGTAATTACTTGTATCTGCACTGTGCAGTGTCTGTAATTGGCCTTGCGGCTGTTGACTCGGCACATAAATAATAAAGAATGGAATTATTATTATTATTGTTATTAATTTTATGCTATCACTCCCAGTTAGCTTATCTTAGTATTTAGTTACTAATAGTATTAGCAACACTCGTAATAATTCATAAATATATGTATATATTCAAGTCTTCTTTAGATTTATGCTCACATATTTATTTGTCATATTTGTATTTTGTTTTAATTATTTTTCTGTACCTTATAGTATACTCGTGCTAACTTTGTAGTTGGCCACTGTGCTGTTAAGTTATTGCACGTAAATGAACATGAATTGAATTGAATTGAATTTTATTATTATTATTGCCAGAAATGTGATGTGTATTCTGATGAACACTTTTATGATTAAGAGTTATCTCTACCAAAAGAATTGGCTCGGCAAGAGTCACGGTTCGAAACCGGACAGGTTAATTCTTTCGAGGCCCTGTAGTTGCTTTAACAGTACTAGCGTTATGTCTGTCAACATATGTTGTTATTTTGTGACATAAGGTCAGAGTTGTGTCTCATTGTCCGTCGTAACAAAACGAATTTGTACAGTCGCTCATGTCTGCGTACAGGAGGCTCCTTCAACGGTTCAGCGTGCAGCTCCAGGTCCACAAGTCCATCTTCTGCCCATTCGCTGATACCGACCGTTAGCAGGTCGGTGGGACCTCATGACAAGCATCCATCAAGTACCAGGTAGTGTGTTGGAGCAGTTTTCATCTTCACGAGGTTGCTTTACGTGGGTCTTAGAATCGAAGTAAATAATAAAAATATGTGAGATTACCTTCTGTCCAAAAAATCACTTTGGATTAGAGCAAAAACAAATTGTTTCAACTACATTTTTAGAAGGCATGCTCGAGATTTAAAACCAAGAAGTTCTTGGAAGGACTAATCGCCTGCTTTTCTTTGATACAACACGGACCGCATAGAAAACGACGCCTCTGACAATTCTTCGTTACCGCGGGAGCGTCATTACCGAGCCGTTGCCTTGCAGGCATAGGGGGATACACTGATAGACCCAAAGACTACGCACTACGGACCGCACAGGAAACGACGCGTTCAACAATTGTCTGTGGTTTGTGTATTCTTTGTCGTGGCAACGTGTATACCGAGACGTTGCATAGCAACGGCAGGACGCATGTACTGATGGGAGGAATAAGAAGTACGCCTTTCAGATGGTCTCAGGTGTGACATGAATCATGATATGTATCTCAGATGATAGTCACCGATGTAAGAACTTCAAATGCAACATTGTGCGAAGCAGTTTAACCGAAGGCACGCTGAAGGTAGTCTTAAATGAGTTCTATCGCTGTTAGCAGAATAATGACATAAAGCAAGCTACCATGTTAATGGGGAGACGGTTGGTGCATGATGTTCGTCACAGGCTTCAGTCTCCCCCACAATCGCCGGACCTCAACCCAATAGAATATTTGTGGCACTTACTGTATGAGATGGCGAGAAAAACAAAAATGTCTATAAAAATACTCGAAAGAGAATTTGTCAGCAGTATGGACAAAAAATTTGTATCGAAACCGCCCAAAATTTGGTGACTTAAGTGTCAAAAAACTTTGAGCTGTAATGAAAGCTAAGAATATGAAGACTAAATACGCGTATTAATGCTGTTCCCCACATCAGAGGCTTCTCTCAGCTGTTTTATATAAAATAAAAGCGCAAGAATAGTAGGTATATGAAACCTGATACTCTGTTAAGACTGTTTAAAAATGAACTAGAAATTTGGAGCATAATATGAACAACGCAAAATCTCATTAAACAAGTACGCATTTTAAGATGCCTGTGGCTGTTTTGTTGCACTCTGAGGTCTATACGTTTATCTTAATTAAACGTGGAAAGTCGTCAGGTATTAGCTAATAAAAATGGTTTAAAGGGCGGAGGGAATCTTAAAAACGACACGGAATGCACTGGAAAATAAACGATAAGGTTAAATCTTTTGTAATAAAATGGCTGGGTGTCATTGTCATGTCTGGTCTTTGGTGTTAATTCATAATGTCCTTTCGTGGTCTCTGACCTATTCTACAGAAAGTGGCGGTTAAGTGGTTAACACTCCTGCTTCGTATTTTAGATGTCCCGGGTTCAGATCTTGGTCTGCAGATCATGTATACTGACAGGTTCTCGTGGTCCTCCTCAGTTCAAGAAAGACGTCGGGATATTACCTTGGACACCAAGTGGAAAGGATGTGGAATCATCCTTTCAGTTGAATGTTCATGGGCCATTCGACCTCACTGGGCTACTGACAGCATCGTCAAATAAACCACAACTAAATAAAACAAATGTATAATTTTAGCAGGGTACGAAGCAGCGCCCCATGTTCGAGCACTACCACCAGTCCTTCGTCCCCTCGCGGAAGTACGCAGCAGCGGGTGGTATCTGAGAAGAGCAGCATGCTAGGCGGCCTCAAATTCTTCTCCTACAAGGAGAAGAACAGTGGCAGTAGAGTCAAAGGAGGTAAGATTACTTTGATCTTTATGTCATTTACATTGCCTTGGTTATAGGGTGTCGCATATTAGGATGATTGTGAACTCTGGCTTGGAAGGGATGTGGAAAGAAGCGTTCTTATCCTATTTTTGGTATTCTCTCAGCATTTGCCTGTCTGGGTAAGAAAATCACGAAGAACCTCAGTAGGATATTCGATATTTGGACCGAGATTGGAATCCGAAACGTCACCAGTAAGAATCAGCAGAACTAGTGGCAACCACTGGACCATTGAATTAAAGTATACCTTTACATCAGCGTTCCAAATTGTTCCCGTAAGAAGCACCGTAATAGCTTATGATTTTTCTTGTCATCGATTTGTGTCTTTCAGAAGGTATTATATGGTCCAGATCGTCTTTGGGTCCATCCAGACTGTCCATTGAGTTCTGGAAGGGGGCTTTCTGCTGGAATAAAGCTCCCGAAGTGTGAAACTGACTTTCTCTTCAATCTGTGCTGATGTTAAGAGCCAAGAATCTACCTTCTTCACGCTATACATATTTTCATGGCGTTGTTCTAGTTCACACTGAAACTTTACTTTTACGATGATTTTGGAAATTGACGTAACTTCACATACATAATCGGCATTAAGTGGTATTCAGCCCAGTGTTTGGTGTTGTTTACTGTAACAGCACTACTCAAATGGATGGTAATTGTTTGTTGTGGATTCTGGTACAGCTGTTATGTGATTCATTTGGCACTCATTATAGTACAGTTTGGAACTAGCACCCATACTTCGTATTCGGGAGACCGCGGGTTCAAATCTTGGTCGAGAGATCAGCTATTCTGTGAAGATTGCCCTGGTATCCCACTGTCCCTCCGGGCAAATGATGGGGATAGTACCCCAAATTAGACAACGACCGTCTTTTTCCTACGCTCCTTCCATTTAAATATTCAGTGTCGAGTTTTCTGTCTTCTGGGATGTAATATCGTGTAGTCCGGCATCGCTACCAAAGTTTCGGAGGAACCTGCTGCCTCCATCTTCAGAGTAGATGGGTGTTTTAGTTACTAATTCCAACAGTCAGGACCATATTATCTGAGCTACAATAAGTAAACATCTAGACACTCTGCCGTTTTCTAAAAATGATTTTTGGCTGCATTAATGACCGTTTTGTTTCACATAAATTAAGATTACATGTTCAGGCTGCAGTCATAAATTTTCGTGAGACATAAATTCGCACCGTTTATTGGTTTTTCGTAAATGAAAAATGAATAAGGCAACACTGTAAATAGGTGGATTTCTTTGATGTGTATCTCAATGTTTTAGGAAATGCGAATGTGTCCAAAAGAACCTCCAGCTCAAGTGGATTCAGCTCTGCCCGATCAGAAAGGAGTGACTCTTCTGCCAGCTTGTGTAGTGATGCTAAGCCTTGTCCCAGGTACGTCAGGTCCTTTGATTTTTGTGGCTTTCATAAAGCATATACGCGAAGATTCCCTGGAACAATTCAGGGTCTTTCCTTTTAATGACTCATCTCCACACCATAGATCTGTAGGACTATATTTCTATCCAACTCGACCCTGTATTTCCTTGCTCTAGATCAAATGTTGGTTACCTGTATTTTAGTTTTCGCCGTTTGTTACTCCATACCATGTGGGGATACAGGTTTGAAACGAGACAAAACCCAAAGCCCCAATTCAGTGTATGTTCCTGATCTTTAATAAGTGTGCAACGTTTAACTGACTTCCGATATATACTCTTATGGTACTTATACTCTCCGAAGTACTGAAGACGAACTGTGGACAACGATAGTCAAAGACAGCTCATCTTCCTGGTAGATAAAATGGAGGGGGGAAGCCACCATCCGCCTTAGTAACCAGATGGTCAGCCTGTCCGTTCATGTACACTTCGCGCAAAAAGTAGTGGCATGTGATCACTCATGACAGTAGAATGCGAGGGGAAGCAGCAATGTGGTGGGGGTACTTTTCGCAGTTACCGGATGATTTGCTCTGCAAAAAGCCAGGCAGCAGACTGACCTGCCTCACCTCTCTGTACATCGTTCGGACAAGTGGGCTCATCTATATTTTGGCCCTACCCGGAAGAACGAATTGGTGTTTCTGAATGCATGCAATCACTCGCTGAGCGAGCTATACACCAGCTCCAAACCCCTCGTCGTAACTTTCGAACTAATGGCCGGTTTGCATGAGAGCTTATATGAACATCATGTCACTAGGGGCCACTCCATCTTCATACCTCTTAATTTCCCTACATAAGTAATACCAGTATTGCGGTCATGCATATTCTTCAGTGGTGAACGACACTACTGCATCTTGACCTAGGATTCCTAAATTTTGTGAGGTAGGCCAGATAGATTACCGAACATCGTACAGACCTTGATGAGATAATATTTTTTTTTGCGACAAGAAACAAGAACGTAGAGGCCGAGCAAAAGCTATAGTTGTGTACCAGCTAGGCGGTTGTAACTAAAGAATCATTAAAACCAGGCCTGTGAAATGTAGGATTTGAGGTTCTCACAGCGATAATTATGAAGTGTTATCCTCTGCGATATAACGCTGTGTAGATCGTTGAAAGTCAACCGACGTTTCGGAGGAACATGTCGCCTCCATCTTCAGGGTTGAAAAGGGCAGAAAGCAGGTGGAAAGCAGCTGCCTGCTTTCATGCTGCTTTCTTGGTCGCCTAATTCTTCGACTCTGAACATGGTTGACTTTCAACGGACTACACTGCATTATGTCCCGGAAGACTTAACTGTTCGTGAAAGTTTGTATGGCAAGACATAACGAAATTTCATTTCGGCTTCGAAGAGACTAATGTGTACGTTCAAGTATTAATTTTGGTATTTGTTCATTGATTTTTAAGCATTCTTCCCACGTACAAAATTAAATCCTGGCTGCAGTTGCAATACAGCATGAAAATTAATCACGTTTCAGGTTTCAGATTTCGTCTTTTTTTGCGTGCGAATACCCTTCCCACACGCAAATAACTACTGAAACAAGGGCTGTGATAACGTAACATATTTTGTAATTAACTATACGTAATTGTTTTGACGGACAAAATTCCTGGTTAATCAAGTAGTTCATTTAATTTCCGCCAGATATCGACAGTCGAGTTTTTGACATAGTCTCACACCAGGTTCCAACTTGTGGCACTTGCATGTGTTGGGATAGTTATAAATTATAATTAATAATGGTTAAGTTATACATTTTTATGCCTTGACAAAGATAAAGTGAGTTTAAATGTTTGTCTGTATATTTACATTTTCTTTTAACTGAGGTAGGGATATGTTGGCTGTACTGTTCACACTACTCCAGTGATTCATTGTCTGCTTTTCGCGAATGCGACCCAACCCTGATCATCTGTGATGCTTACGTCCTGTGCGTCAAGAACACGAATGTTTCTGCAGCGCGGTAATTGTAGAACTGAATTAGTAGGCATCTCCAGTATTTTAGAAAAGCGGATTGTTTTCTCATTGTATGGAAACGAAGTAAGTAGAGCCAGTAAAGTGCAGGATTTGCTTTCATAATGAGGGTTACAAGATAATAAACAGCGAACAAGAAGAGGACACAGTGCTGTCAAAGTCAAACGTTCCTGTCCAAGCAGTATGACATTTTTTTACATTTTGGTATAATGTTTACAGTATAATTGCCATTAAGTATCAGTTCTACAAATGTATTTATAAAGCGTGTATTGTTCTTTTCTTTCTAGTTCTGTATCTCAAGATGAGAGACTGGACACTAGCCCTTCACTTTCGATCAGACATCAAAGCAGTGATGATTCAAGTTCAAAGGGATTGTCACGTGGATTTAGGAACAAACTAGTGAAGGGTCCAAGTGTTGGTAGTTCTAAAGAGGTGATCCAGGTTTCACCAAAGAGTAAACCTAAGATCCAGAACAATAAATCATCACCGAAATTGGTGTGTAAAAGTGGAATTGGCAGTAGAGAATGTAAGGGGGTGATAGTGGATGAGCAGCACAAATTGAGGGATGACCCTGCTCAAGGATTAGTGCATGGTGATCCAAAAATGCATGGGAAGGAAACTGTGAATAATGACAGTTACAGGTATATGTGTGAACCAATAGGAAATCCAGAAAATATTGCTAGACAAGGAAAACTTTTGAGTACAAATGTGAAATCTGATCATGCAGTTTCAAAGATACGAGGCCAGTCATCAGTGAAAATTGGTGGTAGCTCTAGCAACAGCATGTCATTGAGGACTCCACCTGCTCCTGCTTGTGCAATTGGAGGACCTGGAAGCAGCATCCCTAAGCCCACTGCTGCTGTAAAAGGTACCAGCAAACCAGCCAAGGAAGAGCGGAACCAAGTGGCAAGTCCAGTGAAACAGTCAGTTATACACCGTGATGCTCTGCCACGCCAGAAGCAATTGGGAAGTTGGGACAGTGACATGGGGGGAGGTATCAGTGTGGCTCTTGTTTCTCCAATGCCTAGTGAGAACAGTTCTAGTATGAGTGAATCAACATACTCCACCTCAACTGGACAGTCCAACTCTAATTCTTCTGACAGCAGTGTTATCTACAGACCCAGCTCTGAGAGTGGCAGTGAATTGGGCAAACCCGTACCTAAGAAGATAGAGACAACCTTCGATAACTTGGATAAGGTAATGTACCATACCTCCCAGTGAGTCTTCTTTTGGAACAAGCTTATATTGTGGTGACCAGTTGAACCACTTTATAATTTATGATTCATTTACAATTACAGGAAAGCTCAATAAGTGAAGTGAGTAGATTACAGTCTGAGTGACCTGGGAACTGAGGTTCAATTTCTGGCAAGGACACAGATTTTTCTCTTCTCCACAGTGGCTGCACTGGCTCTGGGTCTTACTTATCCTCTTGCACAATGGATGCCAGGGATCTTTCTCCGGGCTGGGGCTGTGGCATAAAATTGATCACTCAGCTTTATTTAATGCCGAGGTTATGAATGCATGGAGCTATACCTCCATTCCCTCATATGTTGTTATGGCAGGGTGCTCAATTAAGTGCAAGGGCAAGTTTTATTTATAGTTACTAATCCTAGCACACCTATCATAACCTAATGAGGCCCTGTGACATGACCTGAAATTGGATTTTGATTTGTTTATTAGTGCAAAGAGAAATTGTTGTTCATCTTCAGAGATACCCATAATTAAATTCAACCTTTGTCTCTGAAATTATGTTTTGTCCTCATTATCATCGAAAGGTTACTAAGAGAAGGAATAGGCATGTACCAGAACTTAAAAAAACTACAAAATGTTCGCATCATCATGTTTGCCTTAACTGTTTAGTCAAAAGTACAAATAATCAAAACTTAATTTGTGAGTGTTACTGGCCCATGTAGAAACCGACCTGGATGCTGACTGTGCATCCTGTCTTTTATGTTTCTGTCCCTGGATGGTAAAAACCACCTTACTTGGCCTTAGCCCAGACATCCTATGGGTGAAGAATTCTGTCTTCTGGGATATAACACCACGTAGTATGGTGGAAGTGAACTCACATTTCAAAGGAACATACTGTGTCTATCTTCAGGGTTCTGCATGGAGCAGGTAGCAAGTAGAGTCTTAACATCAGTTGGCTTTCATCAGATTGCTGCATTGTATCCCAGAAGATGGAACTCATTATAGCCACTGTGAGAAGCCGAAATCCAGCATCCTGTGGCTGAATATCTGAAGCCTGGCCATGATTGAGTTTCTTTAGGGATGGGGAAAGAGCATTTTAAAATGTTAATAAGAAAAAGTTTTAAAATTAAAATATTCTCATTCATGGATGAACTATTTTGTTTAATTTCAATGAAGAAAATCTCATAAAATCAACATACATACATACATACATACATATACATTTGCGTTTCAGATTATTCACAAATGTGCACAGGCACAGAATATAAAACATGTCAACAAGCCAACAAGACATTGGAAACTTGTACATTCACAAACAAAATCACTAGTATATATAATCCATACTTGTCAAAAAAACACATAAAATTGTTAAAAGGAAATACAGATTGCAGCAAATACACATACAATAGTTAAAAAGCAATACAAATTGCAACAAGTACACATACAATAGTTAAAAAGCAATACAAATTGCAGCAAGAATACATAAGCACAGCCAAGGACATAGAGTTAAAATGAAGTGTACACTGTCAGACACCTCTTGACAGGTCTTGACAGAAAAGCAAGAATTCCTCAACAGTATAAGAAGGGTTTTGAAGCAATACATCCTTTAGTTTCTCAATAAACTGTTTTTTATCATGTACCAACTCAATTAAAAAATCAGGCAAACTATTAAAAACTTTTACACTCATACAATAGACCCCTTTTTGCCTCTTTGTTAGATGCCATTTAAGCCATGGCATAATTTTATTATTTGTAGTAATTTTTATCCCTTTGCTGTGTGTGGAATGTTTACTGGAATTATATTTTCATTTATACATGTGTTGTTTCTATAACAGACTGTTCTAATTATAGGCAATTTGTTCTTAAAAAATGTTTTGTAGGTTTCAGAAATTAGAAGAAATTTTTTACATCTACCAGCACCAATTCTTGGTTTATAAGAGAGTTATAACCAGGCTTGTGAATATTCTCATTTTTTGCACAGGATTTTCTAAAACTGTACTAAAATAATGGAATTGTTCTTTCATTAATGACAGTCTCATAAATGGATATTTGTGTTGACCAGTTTTGTATTATTTACTTCTGACCTGCCACAAAGTGAGGTACTTCATGAATTAAACAAATGTCAGATCATGAACCACTGTTGAAATAGAACATTGTTGTATTATAGAACAAGTCACGATTGTTTTGCAGTCATTCAAGAGACGGAGAGAAACTGATGCGTTTTATGAGTAGTGCTGTCATCTGGGATGTGATACTGTGTAGTCTGGTAGAAGTTCACCTTCATTTTGGAGCAATATACTGCCTCCATCTGCAGGGTCAGAGAGAAAGCCAAGCACATAATGAGCAAGAAACAAGCAGCGAAACCCATGTATGTTGAATTTCATATTTATGTGTAATGCCAATATATTATTATTTGTAGGTGATTACTGAGGAGGCTCCACACATTCAGTCTCGAGAAACATCATTTGGAGGTGGAGAAGAAGAAGCAACAATGAACGTTATGCCCATGCAACCATTACTTCGTGGCTACACACCATCTGGACCAAGTATACATATGTCCTGCATGGGTGAGTCATATATGTTATTTTACAATGAGCATGTGCAATTTAAAAAATGAGAAAGGTAATCAAAATTTTGATCAGAGAACTTGAAGGGAAGAGACTTCTTTGGAGATCTGTGCCTAGCTGAGAGGCTGATATTAAGATGAATCTGAAGGAAATAGACTGGATTCATCTTGATGGGGTCTGGTACTTGTAGGCATGATAATGAATATTCGTGTTCTATAAAGACGGAGAATTCTTGATTAGTTCAGTTGCTGTTAGTTTCTGAAGAATCGCACTGCTCCAAGGAATTAGTTGGTAAGTTAATTTAAACTTTTAGAATAGAGGAATGGTGTCTGCAGTTTTCCCCTAAATATTTGCAATTTTAGAAGGCTGTTCTGGGATTTGACATTAAGTGATGTTGATTAGGGCTCCAGAGATACAAGTTACATTTTATCAGAAATGTATCATTGTACAGTGATAGAACTTCTCTTTGTCATTGATCATGGATTGCATTTTTGTATCATTGAAAACTGTAGTACTTTCGAGACACTCTGTAGCTGCAGTTAGGATTAATCCTCTGTATACGTAATAGCACCAATAAGGAACAGACCATCAGCGGACTGACAGAATATTCTCAAATGGATTTTAACTGTTATGCACACATCACATGTTGTGGACTGCCACCATCATGCATCAGCCATTAAAATACATTTAAGTTTATTCCGTCTCTTTGTGGATGGTCCATCCCGTGTCAGGACATTGCATACAGTGTGAACTGACACTTCTCAGATCTTTATCAGGGCATTGTAGAAGGTGATTGACAACCTTCATATTGTAAATATCATTATACAGGGATATTGTCTGAGAACTTCCTAGATATCCCTCAGCAAGAGGGACACAGTGCTTTCTCATCATCTTGAACTGTGCTCGTTCCGACGTGTGGTATTACAAATAAAACTCAACCCAGATTGTAGCATATGCTGGAAATGCTCTCCATTTTTCCACAGGTATTCCTGGCACCTCTGCAAAAGTTTGCATTCACACATTGAAGTTCTTCTTAGGCCCAGAATAATCTTCCATTCACATATTTTCCTTCATTTCTCCAATTGTGTGAGGGTTTGATCTGTAAACATTATTCTTTATGGGTCTCACTGACTTCTCATTTGTTGAGGTCAGGGAAGTGAGCTGGTCACAGATGACTGCTGATAATTCTGTCTCTAAACAATTTACTCAACTTTCATGGCTACTTTAACTGCATGAGCAGCAGTGGAGATGTGTTGGAAGAATGCAGCTATGCTAGTGATGTTAGATTGTTGTCATTTTATTACTCCATCACAAGATTATCCCAGGACATTAAAATGTTTTGGTTTCTGATGCCATGTGTTTGTTGGACTTCTGCCAAACTACACAGCATTATCATCATGAGAACCATAGGTTCAGCCTGAAGTCAAATCAAGATTTCAGTACAGCTTATTTTAAGAATAGCTCAGGCAGAGTGTGTGCTTTCAGTAGTGTATATGAAAGTGATGGAAGAAAATGGTATTGTTAAAGGTTTGTGAACCACAGGCACCTCTTACGTTGGAATAAAAGAACCCAGAAGTTTTGACCTACTGGAATTCAATGCCTGAAGGTTTCACTTTATTTGGCATAAATGAATTTTACTGATTGAAATGGTACCAGGTTTATGGTATTCTTGTGTTGAGTGTGTGATTTGTAGATCTCACTAGCAGTATAACAATATTGAAACATGAAACAGTTTGTTGACTGTATTAATTTTCATAATTTTTTCGCTACAGGTATGCAGAATAAACAAAGCATGAAGTGTTTCAACTACGCTCAATATTTGGATCCCATGTTGGACATCAAGAGAGGAGTGGGTGATGGTGGTTATGGAGATCCAGACTACACCAATATAGAAGTTATTTCAGGTGATAATTCAAAACGGCTGTAGTAGAATAATATATTATTAAAAGGAACAAGCAAGTTACAGCATGGCTAATGAATCTGAACAACCAGCAGCACCACTGCCACCACACGCATCCATGCGTACACACATTTATGTGCACATATTTAAATTGTTAAATATTTCATTACTTGCATCACAATATATATTTTTGTTGTTAGTATTTGTATTGCAAAATAAAGTTCTTTTTCCATCAAACATTGATTCTCATACTATTGATGCTAGACAAAGACAAGATTTGTATTTACCTCAAGCTGATTTAACTATTTATCAAAAAGGAGTTTATTATGCGGGTATAAAAATATTCAATAAATTGTCCATAGAGATCAAGAACACATCCAATAATTTTAAACAGTTTAAGGTTGTATTAAGGCATTTCTTGAATACTCATACATTTTATGCTGTGGATTAATATCTAAATAGATAATTTTTATTATTGTTGTATTCATCGTACTGTCCAGTTGTGTAATATTTATGTATGTATTCTGTGCTCTGTGTTATTTTATGACATGTTCTGTATCCATCTTTGGATCTCTTGACCTTAAATTAATACAAATACATATACATGCACATGCTTGTACGTATGCAAATGCACGTCTCTTATAAAATAAGCATATATAGGCTAAAAATGAAAATACAGATTGTCAGACTTTATTTCTGCACAATGTTTTTGACAAATTAATGATGTTAATATTTAATGTGCCAAAGATGATTCTGTTAACTTGTTGGAAACTAATGATTCGATAGTGTAAGTTTGATATTTTATTGCAGTATAAGATGTGAAGACAAAGTGCATAGTGCTGTAAGGATCCAGTGAAGGGTGCACACAGAGATATTTTGAATCTGAATGCTGTATCATTCAGTACTGAGAGGAGGAGTGGAAGGAGGTTTGTTGTAATAGGCCAGAATAGTGTGACATCTTAAACTTAATGACAAATTCAGTGCATTGGGAATATTTTTGCATCAGTTCTAAATGATTCAGATGATGATGTGTTACACTTGGGATCACTGAGTTTCTGTACTTTGTCAGTTGTCTGGTATTCTGAAGGAACAACACTTCATATCAGATTCACTGACTGAGATGAACTGTTTCTAACAGACCCAGCTGAGTAGGTGCCTTTCCATCCTTTTGCTTGAGAATGGAAACTGACACAGTTTACAAAACATTTTCTTTCAGAATACTGGGCGATGCACAAAGTTCAGGAACCCAGTCATCCCAAATATATTTTCATGTGTTGGAAGTTCACTATGTTCCAGTATTTTACTGTTTTGTTGTGATTGTGTCATACTCTTAATGATTAGTCTGTTGTATATACAGGTTATTTGTCTGATGGAGATGCATCGCGAGGTAATGTGACACACCCGCTCTCCGATGCGTGTGATGGATACATGTCGGAAGGTGGAGCATCTCTCTGTGCTCGAAGATTGCACGCCCAACAGATCCTGTTACAGGAAAATCGGTAAGTAAAATAATGTCTGTGTGATACTGGAAACCTCATGCTTTTTGGAATGTGGCAGCAAGTAGTTTTGTGGTACTGGCTATTTTAGTTTCATGGGGTCACTGTGTCTGTACTGTTTCCATGTGTTCAGTTTGGAGCTTTGCTGCATTCGTAATGATCAATGTGTTGTCCATGGATCAAATCCTGCATTTATATTTATTTTGGTTTGTAGCGGCCTCAGTAGTCTAGAGGTAACGTTCCCACCTCATGACTCGTGGTACGCGGGTTCAAACCCGGTGGAGGTTGTAGAATTTTTAAGGGCAGAAAAATTCAGGGAACAAGTCCTCCGGGAGTGACTTTAAGCTGTGTGTCCCATGTTGTAGCTTTACGGCACGTAAAAGAACCTCATATCTCCAAAGGAGGTCACTGAGCCAAATTCAAGGATGTTTCCCGCCCAACAAGTAGTCTCTAACACCTCTGATAGATGGGGGAAGCATTATAGATACCGCCAAGCTAGTGGAGGCCGAACTTGCTGGCTCAGTCGGGACTGATAGTACGCACCAATATCGGTAGGATATAGAGACTGGTAGAATATCGTAGAGGGAAGCACAATGGACCAATACTGGTCTAAGTGCATGGGAAAACCCACCCTCTCCAATAAGTAACTAACTATTTTGGTTTGTGCTTTATGATGTATAGTTTATGGGTTGTTTAATAATGTGTCAGTTTCACAGCCTGTTTGACATTGAATGATAAATGAGGGTGGTTATGAACAGTGGCCTGGAAGGGACTGAAGAGGAAGTGGTTGTAGTCTATTTAAACTTACTATCCTGTAATTTACCTGAAGTAGCCGAAGAAAACAAAATCCTTAGTCAGAACAGCATGGTCACTGTTGAAGAAAGCTGTGGACACTTCAGATGTAATAATCTATGCTCCATTGAGGAAAAACACAAAATAGAGAGCGACTTCAAAACCCTCAGTTAGGTTGATAGCATATGCCCCTTTGAGAAAGGCTATGAAAACTTAGTCTGTGCCCACTAACAAAAAGTACAGAATTCTGTGTCAGCATAGCATGTGCCCCACTGAGAAAAAACCACAGTCGGGATATCCTGTTTTCAATTAAAGAATGCTGCAGGGTGACTCATAAGCATGGAACCATAGACGATATTGGAGTTTTAGCATAGATGTTACAGAATGTGATCAATATGTCCACCAATCATGTGAATGCTAGGATAACATTCAGAAAGTTTTTGTAGTTTTTCTCTAACTGCAACCTCCACCCTGCAGAATTACTTATTCACTTGCAACCTTACTAGGCACGTTGTATACATTTTAGTGTCTGTGGTTCCAGACTTGCAGGACATACAAAGTGTGAATGAAGTTCCAAACTGATGCTATTACAGTAATACTACTAACTGCATCTATTGGGTATGGACGGGAATAGTTAGAGAGAAAGTTTATTTATATGATGTGCAAGTTTCAACTTATTTGGTTGCTGCATATGAGGATTATAATTGTTTTGGTGAAGTTAGTTTCTTCATTGCATCGAAGGTTTCAAAATGGAATGAAGAGCAATGATTAAGTTTTGTGTAAAATTAAAGAAAACAGCTACTTAAACATCTGAATTGTTGAAAAGTGCAAACGGTGAAGAATATTTATCAAGAACAAGTGTGTTCAAATGGCATAAAAAGTACACAGAAGCTCAGAAAGTGAGAATACAAAAATTATGGTTGAAAACAATGTTGGCTGCTTTTTTTATGCTACAGGTATTATTCATCATGAATTTGCACCTGAGAAACAGACTGTAAATGGTAAATTTCATAAAGAGGTTATTAAGGATGTGTCATTCATGGTCATTGTGTTAGGCCTGAGTTTCAGGAAAGTGATTCCTGGTGTCTTCTACACAACAATGTACTGGCACATTCTATGGGCTTTGTCTCTGAGTTTTTGTTGAAACGAGTGATCCCTGTGTTATCCCATCCACCCTACTCCGCTGATTTAGCACCGGCTGACTTTTTCCTATTCCCTAAATAAAAAATTGCGACGAAAGGGACGAGATTTGAGGCTGTTTCACTGATCTAACAGACTGTGATGAGAGAAGTGAAGGAGATACAGGAAGAAGCGTTTCCTCAGGCATTCAGTTCCTTGTAAGAGCATTGGTTTTATGGCCTCAGTTTGGGAACTTAATTGTCACACTGTCTATATATACATATATGAATGAGAACTTGTCAAGATTGCCTGTGCCCCTTTGAGGAACTGTGTAGAATTGAGAAAACTGAAAACCTCAGACAGGAATGTTTGTGCCACGTTTAGGAACTGTACAGAATTGAGAAAGGGTTTGACAACTTCAGTCAATACCGCCTACCCTGAAGATCGAGGCAGCAGGTTCCTGTGAAATATTGATATCTGTCTCTGCCATGTTATGCTATATCATGTCTTGGGAGACCATTGCCATCCTATGTGTATCCTTAACAACCAGACATGCTGAACATTCCTTTGTTATGAGTCTTAATGAAAGTGCAGTAAATCCTTGATATAATGGATCCTGATTTGATGGATTTCAGATTTAATAGACAGAATTCATTAGTCCTTGATATATATGGTTGATATGTTGGTACTTCTTCATAATAGTCTGGTTGATATGTCGTACATGTCTACTTCATCAGTCATGCTGCGAACATAACACATATCTAGTACATAGATCACAACAACCTCACCAGCATCTGTGAGTCGATTGTGTAGAAAATGTTGGTCCCTCAATGTCTTACAACCTATGGGTCTCCAAGGCTTGTTACAGGGATAGCTTTACCTCTTTTACCCTTTACACATGGACACAAAAATAAAAAAGTCAAACTTGAGAGTGAAATCAAATGTAGAACTGACTGAAGAATTAGAATTGGGAGTATACATCACACATGTTTGTGGGGAATATGGACATTTGGATTAACCCGTTAAAACAAATACATATCATAGATCCAAAAGTAGCCACAGGACAAACATTTACGGAAACACAGTGAACCATCAAAGAGAAACTGCTGATTACCATTTTACAAGTAAAAATAATTGACAGCATTACCATCATGATTGTTTATGTGAGCATCTGTTGTGTTGTAGCTCTTGTGGTGTTAAAGATGTGGTAAATAATGTCCTTGAATTACTGTATCTATTTTGTAGCTTCTGCATATTCATGGTTTTATTACAAGAGATCTCATGGCTGTCCCAGCATATTTTGCTATATGTTAGGAAAAGAAAATGAACCAAGCATATTTTAGCCAACTTACCTTAAAAAATATAGGCTTATGAGATCATCTTGCTATCTGTGTGTGTATTTTTTTTATTGCTAGTGGGGTGGGACTTCTGGCCACTTCTGGCCTATTGTACCAGCCCCAGATGATAGGTGAGGGTGACTGTGGAGCAACTGGTGGAATGAAGATTGGCAGGGGAAACTGAAGTACCCAGAGTATATATATAGACCACTGTAGGTTGCAGTGCAAGGGCCGAGGAGGCCTACCCCTCATACATTCATATATATAGTTCCATGTTAACACAATGCCTGGCAGTGGATCTCAACACAGAAACTGTTGCTTCAGATCACTCTGAAGTTTTCTTGTTGTTTCGTCTATAATCAGTCTGTACTTCTCTGTCCTAATATGTACTCAGTCATCACCGTTCACTAAGGACACACCCCATTCTCATCCTTGTGCTCTCACTTGCTGAACCCTTCTGGACTCTTTTTCTGTGATGGCTTAATGTCCTTGACTCATGACTTCTAAGCTATGACTGACTGCAAATGACCTTCACTGTCTCCTATAAACCTTCGGCACTGACCCCATAGAATATTGTAGATGTGTTTACAGTTCTGTTGCTTAGCACTGGGCGTGGCATGGGCCATATTGAAAGCAAGTCACGTGATAGCTGTCTCACCAGGCCATTGGCTCATTGACTGTTGCCTAGTAGTGAGCTATGAACATTCATCCTAATGTTGCCTGTGTATATCACAGGGTGTTTACCTAGCCGTTGCCTGGCAATGCGTTGATGAAATCCATTACAGTATGTATATATTTAAGTATGTATGTACGTGCGTGTGTGTGCAAGCGCGCACATTCATGCATGCGGGATTATGTATGTATATCTCCCCTAACAACTTCTAAACACCTGTACCGATATTTGTGAAATCTGGTATGTATATCATGCTACCTGAGGCCATCTCAGCATCATACTTTATAAATCCTTCCTGTCTGTAATACCAAGATTGCAGCCTCTCCAACTGTTGAGGTAACCTTAATATTACTTAAATGTTTGAATTAATCATCATGAAACTTGGTTTATATATCATGCTACCTGATGCCATCAGAATGGCCTACTTCATAGATCCCTCCCATCAGTAATACCAACCCTGAATCCTCCCAAATAACTTTAATATTACTCAGTTGCCTGAACCAATCATCATGAAACCACAAACCGCTGCCCCATATAGTGGTAGAGCATATCTTGGCCTACACCTGAATCAGCTTAAGTCTTACAGACTTTTGTAGGTGAGACAGCAGGTCACAACATGTACCATGAACAAAATAAATAAAACGAAATAACATATAAAGTAACAAAATACTTTGCCCGAAACTTGTGCAAGTACAAATCAGTCACCCATTCAGAAGATGTATGCAAAGAAGCAAAGGTCTCTTTGCCAGATGTCAGCTGTATACTGGAAAGAGAATTTAGAAACAAAGACTCTAGTTCAGGAAGGAATTTAGAAACATGTTAAGTCACTGACATCTACAGTGAAAGAGGAATCAGCAGGAAGGCAACAAGTTGCAGGAGAACTGGTGACAATAGGAGAAGAAGGAAAGGGGATGGACACTCTAGGATAGAGAGGATGAAGTGACATGTGAGGGAGGTGTAGGGATATGTCACAGCACAGTTAATGGAATGGCTATCAGGTGCACTAAAGAGAGCCAGAGAGCATCATCCATGACGTTGAGCCAAGAATGGTACATAACTTGCCACCTGAGATCATTTTAGTG